AAACAGGAAAAACAAATGTTTAGCAGAGACGGGCATAATGGTGCACACTTGTAATCTCAGCAGTTAAGCACTGAGCCAGGAGGATCACTGCAAGTTCCAACCCGTCCTGGGCTACATAGTGAGTTCAAGGATAGCCTTGCCTGCATAATGAGAACCTGCCAAAATAAACCAACATAAAAAAAACTTTACAGGGATGGACCTTGTGTCCCATGCCACCTATAATCCTCAGGAAGCTTAGGCAGGAATATCTAAGTTCAGGCAAACAAGGCTACTTAGCTAGACACAACGGGGGCACCGTCAACTTTCGGGAGAAAACAATCAAAGAGAATTAGACCAACAAGACCCAGCGACCTGGATCTTGGAAGGATCTTCAGAGAAACACCTAAGGGGACACACACATATGCAGAGCACAGAGACCCTCGTCAGCCTCATCATTCACCCTTCCCAGCTCAGGCAGTCCTCGGTGGTGAGATTTCATGGCTCTCAGCAGATACCTGTCACCTGTTCTCCTAGTAAAGCTGGGTCCCTGGGTGTGCACCTCCCTTTCTGTGCGTGCACCTGCCACAGGAAGAAAGTGGTGCTGATCCAGCCCACAGCTCCTGCCATAGCCTCCCCACTCTAACCTCCTTTTCCCCATCATGCTGGGGCTTTTTGCACATTGACCTCTAAAGCGGTCATACAGTCCCATGATTGCTGCTGCTTCCTCCTCCTCCTCCTCCTTCTTTTCCATTGTTTGTGTTTGTTTTTTGAAACAGGGTTTCTGTGTGTACCGACCCTAGCTGTCCTGGCACTCTCTTTGTAGCCCAGGCTGGCCTCACAGAGACCTGCCTACCTCTGCCTCCTGAGCGCTGGGATTAAAAGGCAGACGTGCACCATCATGCCCCAGCCCTACAACTGCTTCTTGATCTCCACCTCCACTTCTCTCTACTCCGACCACAGACGTTCCCCACCACCAACTCTTGGAACAAGCCGCAAGGCCCGAAACTCTAAATTCTCACTTCCAGCAGGGATAGTCCCTCTCCTTCCCCTATCCAGGAGACCAGGAGGGACTCTCCACCTCTCCCCGTGCCAGAGACTGGGGACAGCATCACAGTATCCAGGTGGAAGTTCCTTATCTGGCAACAATGTCAAGGAAGATTTGGCCTTTGCCAGAGAGGCTGGGATTAAGACACTAACTCTGAGGGCAATGTCCTACAGTTGAGAAGCCAAGGGGATAAGTATCTTGAGTTGCTGGGGGGGGGGGGTAGATTAGTTTTTAGAATATACCCCGGGCCCCACCCAGCTCTCTGGGAGGTGCTGCATGTTCGCCCCCCAGTGGTCAGGCCAAGTAGTGAAAGACTCAGGGCCAGGTCTTCAAATGGCGGTGGCTACACACACACACACACACACACACACACACACACACACACACACAGCCGAGAGCCAGGACACGTAGCCAGGATCAGCTCCAGGCACTTCCCCTTCCCCCAGAACCTCCGTTCCAGCCCCCAGGGACCAGGCAGGATGCCGCTCCCTGACAGGCTGTGTGCAATGCATTGCTGCTCAACCACCATCTGTGGGGACTCTACTCCCAAGGCTGCCCTATCCTTCTTGAAGGCCTCGGGACACAAACTTCAAGGCCTGGGCCCACACAGGACAAAGGAGCGGAGCTTACTTCGTTCCTTAACTGCAGTCTCTGCACACCGACAAGGAGCTTCCACTACAGAGCAGCCATTGCCTCTGCCCTCCAAGTCCCCGGCAGACAGAGGTGACACATACCACAGTATGAGTGCCCCATGAAGAGCCAACAGGCCATCTTCTCAGGGGCAGTAACACAAACACAGAGACTCGAGACCACAGTGGAACCATGACCCCCCGTTGCAATGCAAACAGTGACCGACACAAGACCAATTATTTGAGCCTTAGCCCCAATGAGAGCTGAGGCCCAGAGAGAGAAAGGGGAGCTTCATCAAAGCGCACACAGACATCGCACAGAAACAGTCTGTAGTACCACGCCCCATGCTGACACTTTTTGGACAAACTCAGGTATGGGTGATGCTATGGTCCGGAAGACTTTGGAAAGCAGCCGGTGGTCAAATCCGGGGAACTGCAAGCTCCTGAGAGCCTGGCTGACGCCTGAAGGGGGCAAAGAGAGCAGAAAGCCCTAGGCACTCACCACTGCTGCGGCCTGTAATGCACATTGTAAATTGACAGCCACCTCCCTTCCTGTAGGCTGAGTGACTATAAGCACATGGTCAGGCCAGCCCCAAGGAGACAATCTTGGGGGCGTCCAGGCAAAGAGCCCTTCAGAAGTCAGACTAGCTCTCCCAGTCTGCCTCTCTGGTCTGTCTCCAGGCAGTTCCCAAGTTCTGAAAAAAGGCAGTGACCACACCCCAATGCCCCACACACTCCTCCACCCCCACAGCTTTACCCCAACTCCTCAAACCAGCTCCTCAGGCTCGGAGTGCTATGTTCGGGTGGCCAGAACCCGCCAGACAGTTCCAAGTGGAGCAGAGGAGTCAGGAGTAGTGGCGCTCTGAACCTCTAAGCAGAGCCTCCCTGCGTCTGAAATGACCTGGGGCTCCACAGCTCATTCCCTGCCCTGACTAATGCTACTCTTCTTCCACAGAGCTCCTTGGTTCAATCTCTCCTGTCCTTTCCTGGACCATGCCTGGCTTCTCCTCAGCCCTTTGCATTGCTGCTGACCTCCATATTACCAGCACTAAGCCTCGAATGACTCACGCAGCTTCCTGAATGTCTTGCTTCTCCTAGGGACAAGAGACTCAGAAAGGGGTTCAGCTATCTTCCAGATGCCATCCCTATCAGCACCCAGGGCCCTTTACTAGATTAACCCCATGCTTCCAGTTCCTTCCTCACACTCCCATGCCCGTATCTCAGCTCGGAGCAAGGAAGTGCCCTTACATGAGGGGTTCCCTTCTACCTCACAGTCTGCACACTAGACACCCCAGATGCATACCTAGCCCATAGTTTCTCAAGGTGAGAGAAGGAAGCCAATGGTTCATTCAGCTTAGGAAAAGAGGACTACCCTGCCTCAGGGACTTCCCTCATGGGACACACCAAAGCAGTTCTACTCACCTAAACTATTCTCAGTATAGGTGGAGACCTTTAAATGTTTCCCAAGGCATCTTCCTGTCCGCACCACACGCTCGTGCGCGCGCACACACACACACACACACACACACACACACACACGCGCGCGCGCGCGCGCCTATGAGGACAACACCCAGCTGAATCGCTGGATTCTGTGAGAAAAGGGATGCAGTGGAGATGGTTCCTGCCATTGAGGTTAAATTTTAATGGGAGACTGTTTCAAAACTACTTATTGGGAGTCCAGCAGTGTTCTGGGGGCAGAAGTAGACTTCTGGGCTCTTTTCTTCCTGGGAATTCCGGGTCACTCTCCAAGGACCCCAACTACCTGGGGAAGCTTTTCTACAAATCCCCTCCCCAGAACTGGAACACTGAGAATACAAGCACCCCAGGAGCACCTCGTGGCCTCAGAGACAGGCCAGGACCACACCCTGCCAAACCAGGATGCCAACGCAGGCACCATTTGCACACTATTCTGTGCTCACGTTGTGCAGAAGTGACAGAGTGTGCAGGCAAGCACGTACAACACACACACATCGGTAACCCTACGTTGTCAGGGCACAGTTTGAGTTGTGGGATATCCCCGGGTCCCCGCCAAAAGTCTTCCAATGCTCACCACCAAGTACAGCTAAACCTGCTGCCATCCCAGCACCACCAAGATTCTGCGTCCCCACCAACTCCGCCCTGATACTGCAAGGGGCTCTCGGCCAGAGGAGCCCAGGCCCTTGCACACTGCACATCCCCTCCCTGCATGGGAAAGCCTTACATAACACAGCTCTCTGCACACACCCTAAGCACGCTGCTTTCCAACTCCACAGCAGGCTTTCGCCCCCCGCCCTCTCCGCTGGCTCGCACTGCAAAAGTGGAGGGTTCCAGAGTGAGCAGTGAAGTCCTTCACCTACGCCCAGCGCTCCGGCCCCCACCGCCTACTCACTGCCCCTTTCCCCCTCCCCTTTGCCCCTCTCCTCTCCCCCCCCCCCCGAATTCTGGTTTGAATTAGTCACCGGCTCCAACCACTACATTCCTCAGGCTGCTGGCGTCCAGCCAGGCGCTGGGGCGGGGGCCATCCCGCCCGGACGAGTTTGGGAGTGGGGTGGGGTAGAGAGAAAGCACCGCCTCTAGAAGGAGCAAGGGAGGTTCTGGGGACTGAGTCGCTTGCACAGCCCCCCTCCCCGCCCACTCCAGCGCAGGAATCTCCCTAATTATGTCCCTCACCCCCACTCCCACCCATCCCACGGGGAGGCGTGCTGCAAACTTCCAGGCTCCGACGCCCAGAAGGAAGAAGGGAGTCTTCAGGATCTGGGAACACGGAGGGGCAAGACTAGGGCGGGGCAGCTGCCGAAGGCGCCGCTAGGAACCAGAAAGGGAGAGGCTGATGGTACAGAGCAGGGTGGGGTTGAGGGGGACTCCAGACGCGAAGTTCGGGGCCGAGGTGTGGAGAGCCGAGAAAGACAGCAGAGGGACACGCGGTGTCGGGGCGCCGGAGGGGCGGGAGAATTGTCACGGGGATCTCGGAAAACTTTTCCAGTAAACATGGAATAGGAACTCAGCAGCGCTCTGAGCCACCGCCCCAAAGTGGAGGGGTGGGACAGGGGCCACCAGGCCAGGAACGCTGCGCCCTGCAGTGCAGTTGGGACGACAGTCCACCCGCGGGAGAAATATAAAGCGCAGCAAAGCATCTATCAAAGCGATTTTCTAACTTAGCCCGACTTGTGCCCCAACTCCAGGGAGAATATTCCACTCCCGAAGTGTGACCCGTCGCCTGTCCCGGCAGTCACAGGCGGCCAGGTTTGCTCTGAACTGTTGGAACCCTCAAGTGACACTACCGCAAATGCACCTCTCCCGAGTCCCTCCTTCCCTGGCCACCGGTGTCCTAGTTCCAGACCGCACCAGCCGGCGTTTCGCTTCCCTACCTGCGGACTTAGTCCCAGGACGCAGCCATAGCCGACGTAGGGCCCGAAGTCGCAGTGCTGTGACTGCTGGTGACGGCGAGCCCCAGTCGGGGCGGGTCTGGCAGGCGGACAGTGCAGTCCCCGCGGCAGAGCTGCTCCAAGTGGCCGGGCCCCCGCGCGCGGAGGCGGCTCTTGTAACTCGGGCGGGTCTGCCCCGAGCTGTGGGGAGAGGGCGGGGCCGGGCGGGGCCCGAGCAGGGCTGGGACCCGAGAGCGAGACCAATGCTGAAGCCACCCGGGAGTGGGCTGGTGAGGGGAGACTGGCGAGGGACGAAGAGGCATCGCCTTTTCCCTTCCCCTATTCCATTTATTGCTCCTGTCCCGGGTCGGGATCTTCCCACCCCACTCTGAGCAGTGTGTGTCTCCACCGGCAAGAAATTCCTGGAAGCACGCAGGAGCAGGGACTCACTCCAACCCTCACAGTTGGAATCCAGCGTCAACCCATTCTGCAGGAAGAGCCAAGAAGCTCAGATGATTCAGCCTCGACCTCCAGCCTCAACACAGACCTTTGAGCTTTCTCTCAAGCTTAGACACTTCAGTCCCAGGCCCCAGCCTCCCGTGTTGGTTCCCAAGTTTCTTGCAGCCGCGCCCATTTCTCGCCTTCAGACTGTCTCAAAGCTCCTACAAAACATGCTGACTCTCAAACTCAGATTTCAACCCCCAGAAATGGGGTCACCTATGCACCCACGGAGCTATTCAGCAGCTGCAGCCACACCAGAGTCAGGCTTGTAGCCCTTGGACGAGAAATGGGTCTGTTCAACCTCTTCTGTAGACACTTGTCCTCGTGCCCTTTGGGGTTTTTGTTGTTTTGTTTGGAGGGCAGCAGTTTATGAAGCCCTGGATGTCCTGGAACTGACTAGACCAGGGTAACCTCGCAGATTCGCCTGCCTCTGCCTCCCTGGGATTCAAGGCATGAGCCACCATGCCCCACTAACCTGGAGGAACCCAAGATTCAGCTTTTTCTTTGCCTCTCCAGTCTTTCTCCTACCCCTCAGCCCCTCCCCCCATATTCCCATTTGCAAATTGTTCAGCTCCCCAATTTACAGCCATTTCCCACAGCCACTTCTAACTAGATGTGGATTTTATTAAATGTTTAATGATGGGGTTGCAGGGACCTTCTGGCTACATCCTCCCCACATACCTCCCTTTTTCTTCTTCCCTCCCTGGCAAGTGGCTATCCAACTGCCCACTCTAGTTTCCCTTCCTTTCCAAACTCCCCAAGAGACCTAAGGCTGGAGAACTGAGACCTTGGCCTGAGATAGGAACGCCTTCGCTCAAAGACCATGAGTGGGCTGGTGCTGAGACCAGCCCTGCCCTGTCCTCTGAAATGGCAAACATGTTTACAGGCTAAAAATATCAGTCAAGTCTCCTGCCAGCCCTGGGGGCTGTGTCCAGGTCCAGTTACCACACAGGGGACAGGCGGAGGGGGGAGGGGGACAACAGAAGGGAATGACAGACACCAGACACATACATAATGGACATGCCAAGGGGGAGACATGTAGGTAGAAATTCAGACAGGTATGGGCATGTAAAGACAGACAAAGCAGAAAATTGGCCACTAACATGCTTCTCTCTCTCTCTCTCTCTCTCTCTCTCTCTCTCTCTCTCTCATCTAGTGACTCAACCCCACCAGATATCATCACGAGCAGACTGTCTGTCATAGGCTCAACCTTTCAAAGGAAAAAATCAAATCTTCTCCTTTCCCAGCACTCACTAGGGGCTACATAATGAGTCCCAGGACACCAGAGATACACCGTAAGGATCAGGTCAAAACACAACTCAAAAAACAAAACTCAAGAGCCAGTCATTCTTTAATTTATTTATTTAGTGTGTATGAACATGTGGAGGTCAGAGGACAACCTGTGGGAGTTGGTTCTCTCCTTCTACCACGTGGGGCCTGGGATCAAACAGGTCACCAGGCTTGGTGGCAAGTGACTTTAACAGGCTGACTCATCTCCTAGGCTAGCCCTCAATTGTGATTTATTGAAACAGGGTCTTATAACGTAGCCCAGGCTGGTCTAGAATTCACAATATAGGTTTGGTTGTCCTCATGTGTACAGCAATTCTGCCTTAGCCTCTCCAATGTTCACCACATCAAGACATTTTACTCCATTCAATTCATATTCATACATTTATTGAGCCAGGCATGGTGATGCAGACCTTTAATCCCGGCACTCCAGAGGCAATGACTGGAAATCTTTGTGAGCTTGAGGCCAACCTAGGCTAAATAATGAGACCCTATCTATATATAAATAGCATTTATTTAATCTCTTAAACATAGACCGAGAATAAGATAAAGTACCCTGCAACCCTAAACCAGGTAATCCCTGTTGACATTTAAAAAAATTAAAGCCTCCATAACGATGAGGGGTATTTATTGGGTATTTGTTGTTTTGTGTGTGTATGCACTAGGAATCGAACGCAAGACCTCTCCCTTGATAAAATGAACACTACCCAACAATGCTGCATCCTAGTCCTTAAAATGTAAGCACTATAGAGAGGCAGAACAATAAAGAGTAAACTCCTGCCTAGAATGGTGGTACACTCTGAGACTGTCTGGTTCTAACCCCCTGGGATCAGGGTCATCTGTGACCTTGGCTACATAAAGGGTTCAAAGTCAGCCTGAGCTACGTAATGCCTTGTCTCGAAAAAACCAAAGTAAATTTCTCCCTTTTTCTCTGTCCAGACATTCTGCCCAAAAGTCACCAGTTAATCATTTACCAACAGATTTTTAACTTTGAAATGAATCTTCATCTGATTCCTTGAAAGAACAAGTTTCCTGATGCATGATCCCTGGGCTTTCAGGAAGGTGGCTATGATACAATATAAGCCCAAGGCACTGAGCACCTGCAAGGAGCACTCCAGGTGGGGTGGGGGTGAGGGGTTGGGGGAAGGAGGCTGGCGCAGGAGAGAAAGAAGAAAAGGAAGGGATGTGAGATCAGTCATCCCAACCCTGCTGCGCTGCATTGACTTCTCAGGAGGGAGAGCTTCCTGGGCGCTGAGCCAATTGTACTGCCCCACTGTTTGTTCTGGCCACCCTCTTGATCAACAGGGAAGAAGGCAGGAGTGCAAGGCTGGCTTTGGGAGCCGTTCGCAGGGCAGGGGTCACTGTCCAGACACTTCATTCTGGGGTAAGCAGGCCAAGATTACCTACCTGATCAGGGCCGAGTTCTGGGAACTGGCTCCTGTCCCATCCCAGGCTATGAGAACAGAAACGGGATAACCTCGACCCCACTCTTTAAAGATCATGATAGTGGGATTGGAACTAGACCTGGGATGTCCTAACTAGCCCAGAGGAGGGCTTGCCTTCCAGTTTCCAGACAGGTGTGATGACAGTTCCATGACTGTAATCTGAATGCTCAGGAAGGTGAGTGAGGAGGCTCACAGAGCTCCAGGCCTGTTTGGACTATCTAGTTCCAAGCCAGCCTGGGCTACAGAGTCTCAAAAGAATCACACACACAAAAGCGTTCCGTGGAAATCCTGCCTCCGACCCACCCCACCAGAGCAGCCATTGTCTGCGACTCTTCCCATATTAGCTCACTTACTCCTCACACCCTGAGAGGGAAATACTTGAGAAGAGATGGTCTCAGAGGGGCTACTGATTTACCTAAAGTCATACAGCTGGCAAAGGAAAAATTAAAGTTCCCACTCATATTTACGCTCCCAAAAGATAAGGGGCTTTCCCACTTCATGTGTCGGTATGGGGGGCACTGGCAGACACACAGCAATCACTCAGAAAGTTATTCCTATGATGCTAGTGACCAGACCTAGGGTCTCATCAATGCCACGATATATATAGATATATATCTCCCCAGCCCTCAGTGAGACATTCACGAGTGCTCTCCAGATAATGGACTCCAAAACCCTTCTTCGCCTAAGTGTCTTGCCTCTCTATCCCGTCTCCTCCAGACTGTCAGCCCCCGGGAACAATTTCCCGACTTGTAATCCTTTGCTGCAGCTGCGCAAACATTATTGTCCATCCAGCACTGGCCAAGGACTTGTTTCAGTGGAGCTCAGCAGGGTGGAATCCCTGCCCTACAGCCACAGAGTCCAGAAGGAGCGTCACGGCCCCTCACCTTGCCTTCAGCTCCCTGCCGGCTGTTTTCAGAAAATTGAAGGCTGAATTTTTTTTTTATTTATTTATTTATTTTTTTTTTTGGTTTTTCGAGACAGGGTTTCTCTGTAGCTTTGGAGCCTGTCCTGGAACTAGCTCTTGTGACCAGGCTGGCTTCAAACTCACAGAGTGCTGGGATTAAAAGAGTGCGCCACCACTGCCCAGCTAAAGGCTGAATTTTCTAACTTTTATTCTGCTATCCCACACCCAACACAAGATGCATGAGTGAGTGCTCTAGCTTCCCCTCCCCCCACCTCCCCCACACACACCTTGAAGAATCCCCTCTGGACCAGGCAGTGTTGGTGCAGACCTTTAATCCCAGCACTTGGGAGACAGAGAGGTAAGAGGATCTCTGTGAGTCTGAGGGTAGTCTGGTCTACACAGCGAGTTCCAGGACAGGTAAAGCTATACAGAGAAAGCATGTCTCAAAAGCAAAAAAAAGAAGAAAGAAAGAAAGAAAGAAAGAAAGAAAGAAAGAAAGAAAGAAAGAAAGAAAAGAGAAGAGTTCCCTCTGTTCTAACACTGTCAAGGAAACCTGTGTTTTCAGCAAGGTTTCAGACTTCTGTCAACACTGGCCGGGGTTCAGCTGTAAAGCTGGCACAGGATCACCCTTCAGAGGTGCCCACACCTCAGGCCTCCACTCACAGGCAAAGCTACATGAGCGCAGGACTCGTCACTGGGATAACCCAGCTTCCAGAAATGACGTTCCTCCCCTGGGGGGATTCCCTGAAATGAAGGAGTTATGAGTATGTGTGTGTGTGTGTGTGTGTGTGTGATGAACCTTAGTCTCCTAGGTTGCCAAGCAACATGCCTATGTTTTGTTCCTATTATGCCTGTTTCCATAGTAACCACAAAGGGGAGCTCTGTGGATGGGCCCTCTGCCAGGGGATTCCCCTTCCCCTCCCTTCTTGCCACAGTCCCTTTTTCTGAAATCAGTACATTAAAGAAAGACAAAAAAAAAAAAAAAAAGCCAACAGCTTTCAAGTGTGGTCCCAGAGAGGAAGCTGTCTGTTTG